TCCATTCTCTAGGTTAATCTTTAGATTGTTCAGAAGTTCTTCCGTCTTCTCCAAACTGAAAACATACACCAGCGGGCAAGAAAATAGTCAGGGTGTTGTCATGGTTTCCTGCTGGTGACAGCGAATCTGTCTCCAGATCTTGAATACTGAGCGGGGAAATATGTAGATCTACGGAAATTTTGCTGTAGCTTCAGTAGAAAATCATTCTAGCTTTGAAAGAAAATTGTCGTTATAGCTTTTCATGGAAAATGTTTTAGTTTCAGAAATCACAAGAAAATATTCTTAGTTCCGACCTAATCCGCTTGACGCAACCCAACGTCCGTGCAACTTCAAAGGCCGGCGGTGCGCCTTCTCGCGTGAAGAATCCAAAGAAGAGAGAGAGGAGCCGAAGCGCACGGGTAACGCCGCACCGGCCCGTTTAGCGACCGAATTCGCACGGTGGGCGTCTGGGCGAGTGACGATTCGGCCCGGCTGCAGCCTGCTGGTGTAACGGGGGGAACAGCCGGATCCTCCGAGGACATCAGCCCGTGCCATGCCGGTGCCGCCGTGTCAGTGGACTTGCAGCTGCAGACGCTGAGTCGACGACCGGGCATATCCATCCGACCGGCAACCGGCATGCGATGTGTGCCACTACACTACGCTTTATGCGCCGACGAGTACAAGTACGAGGATACACATTGGTCGTGAAAAGTGGAGCGGCACATGCATGTATCTATTGTTTATTGCAAGTCAGCGGTTGAAATATATCTTTTCATTATTTTGTAATTATATAATACCACTATTAGATATCGCTCTTTGCTCCATAAAAAATGTCATTCTCACTTCGCAGGAAGTTAAATTTTTTTAATTTTGACTATATATAAATATTAGTATTTTATACATAACTAGTGTCATTAGATAGATAATTAAATATTATTTTTAGAAATAAAATTATTTGGATATATAAATACTCCGTATTATTAATATAATTAAACTTAAGAAAGCTTGGCCAAGTGCATCACAAATAACTCTTCTTATGTGAGATGGAGGAAGTATATAAGGAATACTCATTCTGTCCCAAAATATCTCGTCATTCTCGCTTTCTAAAAAATAACTTTGATTAATTTTATATTAAAATATTAATATTTATTACACATAATTAATATCATTACATAGATCTTTAAATCTATTTTTATAATAAACTTATTTAGATATATAAATGTTGCACGTATTTTTTATAAATCTAGGCCTTGTTTAGATTGCAAGTTTTTTCACTCTCTCTCCATCACATCAAATCTTTGGACACATGTATGGAGTATTAAATGTAGATAAAAAAATAACTAATTACACAGTTTGATTGTAAATTACGAGACGAATCTTTTGAGCCTAGTTAGGCCATGATTGGACAATAATTGTCAAATACAAACGAAGTGCTACAATGCCAAATATTGATTCATAACCCCAATCTAAACAAGGCTCTAGTCAAACTTATGTTACGGAAATAAAAAAACAGCAGATAATATAGGAAAGGACGGAGGGAGTATATTGGACTACACAAGCAGTCAAGCAGGCCAGGTCAAGCGAGCCAAGTGCCCGCGTCAGTCGCGGCCGGAGACGGCAGGGGGGTGGACAGTGGAGCTGCTAGCTGCTTTCCGCGAACTTTCCCACCGACGCGTAGTTCCGTTCCCGACGACACACGGCTGACATCCGTCGCTTCATTCGTCCACCTCTGTTTCACACGGCGGCGCGTACACTTTTCTTGGCAGAAGCCAGCCGGCAAGCACCAGCACCGAAAAACAACCATCACGATCCATCAACACGACGGGCACGATCGAGAAGCATAATGGCGTAGCGCCACAGCCGTTGCCGCGGACGAAGCGCAAGCTAGGATACGATGGCGAGGTCTCCACGCGAAAGAGGATACGGCAAGGTCGGCGCGTGCAATGGACCAATTCGCTCGCGGACGTCCTTTTCTGTAGGACAGGGCCAGGCTAGTAAAGGTGCCGCCCGGGCCCGGGCCTCCCTCTGCATCTAGGCTATCTGCATCCATGCATGTGAAACTCGGGGACACCTCACGTAGCAGTGGCAGTAGCAGTGACGGAGATGCATGGTCGAGCGAAAGGGGACATTCCATCCACACCAAATTAATTCCATGTAGGGTTAGTTACAGAGGATATAAGGCCGTGTTTAGTTGGGTGAAATTTAGAAATTTAGCTACCGTAGCACTTTTGTTTTTATTTGGTAATTAGTGTTTAATCATGGACTAATTAGGCTCAAAACGTTCATCTCGCGATTTTCAACCAAACTGTGCAATTAGTTTTTTTTCGTCTATATTTAATGTTCCATGCACATATCGTGATTTGATGTGATGGCTAATGTAGCATTTTTTTTAAAACCTTTTTGAACTAAACGTAGCCTAAGTATAATAAAGTTAGCCTAAGTATAATAAAGTTAGCAGGAGTAGATATGGTTGGCATACGGTGTGCACAGCCACTTTATCCAGCTATATTCTAGGGAAAGTAATAATAAGGTCTGAGCATTATTTCTCTATTAATTCTTATTCCAGTGTTGAAGTTGTAGTAGGTACAGCAGTAATAATTAGAAAAACATACGTGCATAGGCAGATATCTACACAAGCAACATACAAATTCATTCGTTTCAAAAAAAAACGTAGAAATGCATAGTACTCACTCCGTTCTAAGGTTGTTTTGGTTTTTTCATACACGACTTTAATTATGTATAATAGAGATATATCGTATATTTAGATATGCATAACAAAAACTATATATCTAAAAAGTCAAAATAACTTATAATTTTGGACAGAGAATGGTAATAACGAAGGACCAACATAGTAGGCTGTCCTCGTGCCTGTTGGTTTCCAAAAAAAAAAATATTGAAGAGCTAGCTTAATTAAGCCATTGACCATAAGCGCCATGTAATAACCAGATATAAGTTAATTTGGCATAAAAATTCTCCATGAAAAGTACAAATACTGTTATACATCCACCTGCAGGTCCAATGGAGATCAGTGCCATTAATTGACCATAAGCAAATCTGGATAAATGAGCTGAGTATATATACATATTCTCTAGCTATAAGATCGATAATCCACATGCATTATCGTAATAGATAAATTTAACTATTGATGAATCCAGCAGGAGAAACCCCTAGCTAGCTGGTTGATCACTTGATCTCTGCCTTCCAGCTGGTAGTGCCGACCTCCGAGAGGTGACTTCAGATAGATACGTCTGAAAAATGTAAGTGAGTTAGGCATTGTTTAGCGCGTGTTTAGCGCGTGTTCAGTTCAAAAATAGTTTTAAAAAAGTGCTACAGTACTCGTCACATCGAATCTTGCGATACGTGTATGGAGCAGTAAATGTAGATGAAAAAAAAACTAATTGCACAGTTTGGTTGGAAATCACGAGACGAACGTTTTGAGCCTAATTAGTCCATGATTAAACACTATTTGTCAAATAAAACGAAAAGTGTTACAGTACCCAAATTCCAACTTTCCCTCCAACTAAACACAGCCTTAGTTTCTGGGTGTAAAGTTTTGGGGTGTCACATCGGGTGTCACATGGGGGTGTTCGGATATTAATAAAAAAACAAATTAAGAATCGTCAATAAACCATGAGACGAATTTATTAAGCCTAATTAATCCACCATTAGCACATATGTTATTGTAGCACTTTATTGTCAAATCATGGCTAATTAGGCTTAAAAGATTCGACTCGTCAAAGTAGTCACAATCTATGCAATTAGTTATTTTTTAGTCTATATTTAATATTATAAACTTTTGTGGAGCAACTAAACAAGGCCTTACGTTAGATCAGATCGACTCCACAGGTCAGGTCAAGTCAAGTCACTTTATATGCTGAAGAACAAAAGCAAATAAATGGTCCTACATGTGCACAAGTATGAACGCAAAACACACGCGTCTTTCCTTTCTGATATACTATACGCCGATGGGTGTTTATATATATTTTGGTGAGGATTCCAACCAAGTAGTTGAAAGGAATATATAAGGCGTTACTTATGTCTGCACTGCATTTTGCATTCCCCTAATGTGTCATGTGTATGTGTGCTAGTAGCTTTCAGCCATGGACATTTGGGAGAGGGAACTGACAGCCAGGGCAATTGGAAATGCAATAGAATCATTAAAAAAAAGGTAGAGAAAATAACTTGTATACAATTATATATTCCCTAAGAAATCTAAACTTGGGAGTATCACATATGTATGCATGCATGCATATGGTCGATCTGTACTTGTACACATGTGCTTTAGTCTGCCAACTACTCTAGTACTTGTGCACTACATACAGTCTAATTATATGTCCTTGAAAAAGATTCTAATCCATTGTTGAGTCCCCTCAGAATCACATGTGCACTAGCAGACAGGAATACGTTCATATATATGCGCCATGCATGAAGTGCCAATTGCTCCTAGCTACAACGTACTACGTACACACCAATATTCCACAGCTTATATCTTACCGTGCATTTTCTCCATGAATCAATTATAAGGTATAGGCATCCAGCTATACATATATATGCAACCACCAGGGAATTACTGCCTAGCTACTGATGGTATGAATATCGATTTTATTGTAAACCTGGTAATGTAGATTTAGTATCTCGCTACATATACTTTCATTAAAATAAAGGTTACATAAATTGCAAAGATGCTTAGCCTACTAGTCCGTTTATGCAAAAAAAAAGTATGAAAAACAATCATGAAGTGCTCCAATATCAAATTAAAGTTGAGGTTAGCTATTAAGCATATATATCAAATATTAGTTAGGAAAGCATACAATAATAACAAACAAATTTATGCCACTTCAGTTAAATAGAATCTTGGCCAAAATATATACTATGCCATGAAGAAATTAAAACAACATGAAACTTTAAGTATATACGGAAGCATCATTTGATATGAGGCTCCGACCACGCATCACTCTACCAATAAAAACCAGCATGAAGTCGATATCATATTCTAGCTCCGTTTCTTACCATTGGCATCATCATGGCGTTCCATGCCTTACACCATGGGGCACCATATCGTCCAGTAGCCCCGCCTTCTCAACTGAAATGGCAGCCGGAGGCACTGATGATGGTATTGACGGCGACTGCGCCATGGACACCATCGAGCTGTAGCTAGCCCGCCGCAGCTCGTCGCCGTCGTTAACATGCTGAAAAGATGTCGTAGTCGTCGCCGAGCTGACGACGGTCTCTGAGGACAGGGAGCTCTGTGGGTGCAACGGCGGCAAGCTGTAGAGGTGCCGCGCTGGGATGAACGACGACGACGTAGAAGACATTTGCTCCGCAAGCGCAACCGCCGCCGCGCTGTGGTAGCGCGCCGCGGCTGCGCCGCCGCCGCCTCCGCCGCTGCCGCGATGGAATGGACCAATGTGGTGGCAGTGCTGGCCCTCGTAGGTGGTGATGACCACGGAGGGATCGTTGGAGGACCGCTCCACGCGCTTCTTCACCGTGCATTTGCTGTTGGTGCATCTGTAGTAACTCCTGCTCAAGAAATTTAGCCCAATTTGATTTGACTCGCTCGTGTGTTAGTTATAATTAATTTCATGCCGTGATGTAAAAAAAATACCTATGTTCATGTATGCGTTAAAAGTATTATGTAGATTTCTTAACTTCATATATTCTTGGTAAAAATTAAAAGTCATGGTATGTAGCGAACTAGCAAAACCACAAACAGCGGGGGGTCATTTTAATTAAGCATGAACAATGAGTGATTTGCCTGTTGAAAGAAGAATTGAAACACAATGCAGTAGCATTTGGATGAGAGAGGAAAACAGTGAAAAACAAGGTAAAGCCATGTTGCGTATATACGTATATGTGTGCACATAAAATTAGCTAGAGAATGCAAGACGTAGTTAATAAAGTACTAGCAGTGTAGCACACTCAAGTTCATCTATAAAGCTGGCAATGCAATCAACCTTGGGAAAGGGCTGTTCTTGACAGCTTTCTGGCCATACTTCCTCCATCTGTAGCCGTCCTCGAGGTGATCGATCTCGCTCTTTGTCATGAACGCGAACCGCGGCTGCCGCGGCCGCTTCTGCCCCTTCTTCGCCGTCGCCGTCGCCGCCGCCGGCTTCCTACCCCTGCATACGCAAATCCAACAACTAGCTATATCAGATACGACTTTTATGTTTTTTGTTCCTTCAAAAAAAGTACTAAAACTGCTAATGAAAATGTACTAGTATAATACTAAGCATGTAGGCGTACTCCTACGTATAAATAAGCATGTCGTGTACTGGCGGCAATTCATAGTGACAGTGGGCAGATCTATGAGCAGCTATGACAGGAACAGTGTGTTTCGATCCATCCATGCCTGCAAGCAGTTAATGCTGCGTAGGCTGGAGTGCAAGATTCAATGCGCACTGAACATGGCAAAGGTAGGTAAGACAAGGAAATTGGTCGGCCACACCCCGGCCCAGCCCACCGGATGCCGCTCGCCGCCAACGTTGCTGATGGCAGCATGCAGATCAGCGAGGAAAAAAGGTGGGAGCGAGCATGGAATGCAGAAACACACACAACCCCACCCATCCATCGCCGCTAGAACATAGGTTGATTGTAAATTTTTGTAATTCGGATATTGTAGTACGTTTTATTTATATTTGACAAACTTTGTCCGATCATAGATTAACTAGACTCAAAAGATTCGTCTCGTGATTTACAACCAAACTATACAATTAGTTACTTTTTTTACCTACATTTAATGCTCCCACATGCGTCCAAAAATTAATGTGATGGAGAGAGAGTGAAAAAACTTAAAACTTGATGTCATCTAAACAAGGCATAGATATACATGATAATCATGTATGTACACTTTTCCCTTTTCTTCGATGAACAACTTTCTATCCATTGGTTTGACCACATGCAACTTTGAAATGAAACCGTACGTTTGGATCTATTTGACACCAAATTTTTTAAAAAATCTCGTGCATATGCATACGAACACGTGAACAGTATATGAGCATACGGGGGTATACATTAAAAAAGGGGGGAGTAGATAGACGAGGAAAAAACAAAGGAAACCGCGTGAAACTTGAACAATCCGCGCACGCAAATCGCGGATCTGAGTGCACGTAGTAGAAACGCGTCGCGGAGCCTCGCTTTCGTGCGGTGCTCCGAAATTACAGCCCTGCCACTCGCCGGCGAGCCAAGCCAAGCGCCGGCCAAGTGTCGGCGTCTATGCTACCTTAGGTGCGGAAGCTACCGCGCATGCATGCACTTACGCTGCCTCGGCGGCCGGCGCCGCCTTCCGATCGTCGTCGTCGTTCCCCGGCGCGGCGCCGTCGCCGTCGCCGTCCCCGCTCGAGCTCGACGACGCGCCGGCGTCGCCCGACCGAGCGGGTGCCGGGTCCTCCGACCGCTCCATGGACAGCTGCGATGGCAGCGGTGCTGCTGCCTCGGGCAGATCCAGCACCGGGAGCTCCCCGCCGGCTAGCAGGCCGCCCGGCCAGCCGAGCTCCGCGAAAACGGACGAGTACTCCGTGAAGGCGTCGGCGGCGCCACCGAACGGCCAGTCGGCGCCGACGTCCTCCGATCTGTCGCCGGCGGCGCCGGCCATGGGCAGCTAGCACCGATGCGATCCGATCGATCGATCTCTTGGCTCTGTAGCTTGCTTGCTAGCTAGCTGCGGCGGCCCGATCGAGCGAGTACTCTTTGTCACTTGTGTGTCACTGGCTTGGATAGCAAGCTCGCTAGAGGCCGGCCGCCCGGCCTGAGCGAGGGTTTGCGCTTTGCTTGTGCTCTATTGCCTTTGTAGCGGCGTGGTGCTGCTGCTGGGACTGGGGAGTGGTGGATTTTTAAGGGTCGGGGCCGCGCGCCGCGTTGTTTTATTCGGGTCGGGCGCGGGGTAGCGTAATTAATTTATTAATTAACGAGACGTCGCTGTCGAGCTTTTTATCGGTGTTCGGGGCAGACGCGTCGGAGCGCTAGGCTAGGTATTTTTGGAACTTTCTCGCGGTCACGGTCGCGTCTTCAGTGAGTGAGGGCCTGAGGGGCAAAACTGACATTTAATACAGTCAGAGAACTCTTCCAACGGAAGAAGGAAAGGCTCTTCCAAGAGAAGGAAGGCGCAGTTACAGCTAGAATATTCAATTTTCGGCAGGGAAGATAAGAAAAAGGAAAAAAAAAAGTAATGTTCATTGAATGACCATTTGAGTTATTTTAAGTCAACCCTTAAACTCTAGTCACATTGCATTTTTATGCGTTGAATTTGGAATTTTGATAATGTTATTTATCTCAAAATGTGGCTTCTCAAAACTATATTCTTGATTTATTTCAAAAACATTTTCTAACAAAAGGAACTGGTTAAAGTTGTGTCTTTGGGCGACCATCCTAAAGTCTCATCTACTATTTATGAGCAGTGGAAGTAAATAGTAGATAGAAAAATACATTGACGGAGAAGTACTCCTCTGTTCTGAAATACGAGATATCCTAATGACACATATAACTATTTCTGGTTACCATATTTTGATAAGTAATAGAAATCAATGGTAGATATGCATGTAAATGTTGTCTTTTTAAATTTAGTTGAAAGATTAATTCACTTGGAATTTCTTATAATCGAGGACAAATTTTAATCCTTTGGATACCTTATATTTTAGAAACTTCCTTCGTCATAAAAAGCAAACGAAAAACACTCTATTTTTTGTCTTAAGTTAAATCATTTTAAAGTAAATTTAATTTCGTTTGCAAAGAATTGTAAGAGTACTTATGACACTAAGTCGGTATAGTAGGAAAATATATTGCTACTTATAAGTATCATGAATATTAATATTTTTTTTAATTTGGTCAAATTTTAAGATTGATTACTTACGAGTTACAACCAAGTAGAGTGACTTTTGTTTGGAAAACGGCAGCAGGAAAGAGTAGATAATTTTTGGTTAGCAAGGTAGAGTGTGGTCGTGTGGATAGGTAGCCTGTTCGGGAGGCCGTATCGTATCGTGGATTATTTACTATTGGCTGGTTTGGTGTGAGAGGAAAACACTGTTCCTGGCTGAAAATTTACGATCGTTTACGAGCAAGCGAACAGGCTACTGCTGTCAGCCTGTTCGGAACTGTTGGCTGGTTTCATTGTTGGTTCATGAGAGAGTACTGCTGGCTGGTTTGTATAAGGAAAAAATATGAAAACACTGTTCACGTAAGAGGGCTGGCCAGCGCCAGCCAGCCAGCGAACAGGCTAAGGATGTTTAAAGAATGCATGCGCGTATGCGTATCCATGCTTTGACTAATCGCTTACGCGAGATTGGACATCATTAAATAAGCTACGGGGTATTACGTAGTACAGATTTTTTAATTCACCATCCATTAGCTGTACTCCATGGTCCGTTCTTACACTGTGGGTGAACTGAAAGGCTCATTATGGCCCACAGCGAGCTTTCAGCTGTAAGACTGTATTCAACGACAGTTACCCAAAATACAAGACTAATTCTATGTTTGATAGCGCTACAGGCAAAGAGTTTGATACATATTTTGGTCTTCTTCAATAATAAGATCCAAAAGAGAAACATTTCTGCAAATAGATCTCTATGAGAGAGGATACTCAAATTTAGGTTATATCTCTCCTGACATCTAAAATGGGTCTTCCATATAAATACTGTTGAAGACTATAGGTATTCTGTTAGAGATCTAGTTTGAGAATCCTGATGAGTCTCGTATTGAAGACAGCCTAAGCACGTCGTCTAGCTTCATACTCCGTACATCGAAGTCCATCTCGAAAAGGAGAAAATGAACTGCTGGTGAAAAGACACTCTGAAAAATAAATTAAATTAGGAAAACAATGGTTTTTTCCCCGTAAGAGAGCTTCCGGATAACAAACGTATACCGTGCCGTCTTGCCCGGCCGGGTTTAAGAACAAATCATTCACATTCAGAATCGTGGAAGAATTCAATTTCTGATGGAGTCATGGGTTTCATAAGCAAAATGGTATCGTCACAAGGAATTTTATAGTTATGTTTCTCTCGGTAGGCAGGCTAATCTGGCGCCACATCCCACATGATGGAATGATGAGCGAAGCCTCCTGTATAACACAAACAGTGCTACGACGTTGGTCGATCCACCTGTGTCTTCCACTCTGGTCATGCTTGTTTTGGCCCGTGTCTATTTTTCCTACTCAGCCAAAACAACTTAGAATTTAAAATGGAGAAAGTGTCTCACAAAAGTTATATACTCCCTCCGTTCCAAATCATAACTCGCCAAATTATAAGTCGCTTTGACTTTTTTAATATATAAATTTTGCTATGTAATTCAGACATATATTACATCTAGATACATGGCTCATCTAGATACATTACAAAATTGATGTACCAAAAAAAGTCACAGCGAATTATAATTTGAAAAGAATGGAGTATTTAGAAAAGTCAAATTGACTTATAACGTGAAACGAGTAGAGCATATTTCATTATTAATCTTCACATATATTATTAAGAGTTATTAACACAAAAAATATAAATTATAAGGCTCTTGGTAATTTTCTCTGGAAAGGTGGCAAAACTTTACCGCAACATTTACTAGAAGAATGAAAAAAATACCATTAGCTTTGTCCTCACTAACTCGGTCGGTGGCCCAAAGCCACAGCGGCACAACGGGCTACCCATAGCTTTAGTGTCTCCCCCCTATCCCACACCTTATCTGCTTTAAAATACCGCGCAACGCATTCTTATTTAAGTGAAGTCAATTCTATTCTTGATCCTATCTAATCACCCGCGTATATCCCTTTCTTCTCACCATAGAGATCGTGATCTCGCACGACGAAGAGATCACGCATTCACGCTACACGATCCCACCAATCACCTCCCCGCGGATGGTGGAGAATCTGGTAACGTCACAATAGCACTAGCGGCCCCCGTACTTTCCCGCCCTTTTCATTACGAAAGACCATTAGAATACAGAACCCAGGAAGCTCCAGGAGGCAATGGACTACACTGCACGTCACCAGATCACCAGCGAGCCAAATGATCGATGGTGTTCCTGCAATCCTGCCTCAGCCTTTATTAGCGGATACACACACCAAAAACCAGATTCGAAAGGCAAGGTACTGAACAGCGCTGCGAATATTACAACAGATGGGACTATATACCATGTATAGTCTCATCATTTATCCACGCCTACCTCATCTTGCCTGATTTTGTCTACACAAAACTGAGGTGACCACCGCTTCCTGCTACGGGGCTGAGGCAAATTCATGTTGTCACCAATTGTTCCTTCATCCTAAGGGTTGACAGAAATATAGGCAAAAGAACCTGATATCCACCTGCCTAGGGAAGGATGACAGGGCTGATATCCCAGATATCCTTGGCATACTCATGAATCGTCCTATCGCTGCTGAACTTGGATGAGCCAGCTGTGTTGAGGATAGACATCCTTGTCCATAACTGCAAGTTAAATATATGAGTAGAAAGAAATGACAAGAAATATCCACTGATGGGCAACGACATAAAAACATAGTTACTGCACTTAGCATAGCTAAATGTAAATGACAAGCCACCTGGAGACATCCCAAGTACCGAAAGCAAAATATGTAGAATCGATACTCTGATCACTCTTCAGAAACATTGTCAAGAAGAACAAAGAATGCAGGAAACGAGGGCCTGGCAAAGCACAGTTTTTTTAATTGTCCAGAAAAAAAAATGCAGAAAGGAGGGCCTGGCGGGCACTGTTTTTTAATTATCCAGGAAATTTTTTTGCAGAATCCTAAGGTACACTGGTTACTAGCATGAGAAATCATTAGGTCATTTACAGTTCTAATTGTTTCCTTGAGCTACTCTTGGAATCTATACTAAGACATTATGGAGCAATGGTCTAGCTAGTTCTAAGTGTAGGCTTATTAGCAATACAGCATAACATGCAGCAGTGTTCTTCTGAGTGCTCCTATGATTTAGTGAGGAGACGCTATAATTATACAATATGTATGAGTCATCAGAATATAAGAAGTCTGCATAATCATCATGTGCAGGGAATCCAGAAAATAAACAGCAACAGTAAGAGAACGTACTTTCTGATCTCGGTACGCTTTATCAACTTTTTCTTGGCATTCGATATAACTGGGGAAGTCCTTGCCAACAAGGAAATAATCTGCATGCCCGTAACCTTCATTTCCTTCCAAAGAACCCATCAATTCATCATAGTTGTAAGTCCCAAAGACACCACTGCGGACAAATTCCTTAACCTCCTCAAATCTTGGGTCAGGCACAAACTACAAGTGGAGAACAAAGTGACAAGATTATAAATTTGACTGATGCACTATGTGGGCGCACATAGACAGATCTTTACTAGCTTGACAAAAAGAAACAGTGATAAGATTATACAAACAAGAGAAATACCTTTCCCTGAGCTCTCTCTTTCCGCAAACCAGCAATTTCATGTGCCTCTGCACCAAAAAGGAAAAAGTTTTCCTCTCCAACCTCCTCTCTGATTTCCACATTCGCACCATCTAAAGTTCCAATAAGAATGCAACCATTCATTGCAAACTTCATGTTACTGGTCCCACTAGCTTCCATTCCAGCAGTACTGAACAGATAATATGACGTTAACAAAAGCAAATATCCTATCGAGACAAAAAAA